TAAACAACCTCAGAATTTAATTCTGATGATTCCAATAGCTCCGTATAGTGATTTTGGACTTAGGAGCGTGTCCGAAAAATTGTTTGGAGGTCCGTAGTGGAATTAGGCTTGAAATGCCGAAAATTGAATTTTTAGAAAGTTTGACCGGGGAGTTGACTGTTTGATATCGAGGTCGGAATCCGATTATGGAAATTGGAATAGCTTCATTATTTCATTTATGACTTGTGTGCAAAATTTGAGGTCAAACGGACTTGATTCGATAGGTTTCGGCATCGAATGTAGAAGTTAAAAATTTCATAAGACTAAAGTTTCAAGTGAGTTCGCACAAGACCTAACTTCAAATGAGTATAACTCTCATTATACGAAATGTTATATGGTGTATTACCTATCAAATGAAAGATCTTGGAGTCTAGTTTCTAACGCTTCAAGCCGTTCGTCATTTGGACATTACTACAAGAAGTTATGACCAAATTACTAAAGGCTAGAAAAATACGATTCTGCGACCAATTCTGCGATCGCAGAACCAGTATGCGATCGCAGAAGTAGTTATGCGACCGCCAAATGGTCGCAAACCTGTCCAGTGAAGCCCATTTCTAGGCATCGATTTTGTGGTGCATTTTGCGACCCACATACTCATTCTGCGGTCCATTATGCGACCTCAGACCTGCTTTCGGAGGGTTAATTTTTCTATTTTCATAACCCGCCCCCATTTTGATAAATAGGCTTGGGGACTCATTTTGGAGCAAAAATCTGATATTTTTAGAGAGAATGGAGAGTGTTCTAGAGAGAGAAAGAAGCTCAAGTGCTTTTTTCATCAAGATCTTGTTCAAGCTTTAAAATCCAACAAGGAAATATCACAAGATCTTTACCCAAGAGGTAAGGTTCTAACCCCTAGTCTTCAATTTCGAGTTTGGATAAAGATGGGTGATTAAGAGTATGATTCTTGGGTGTAATAGTATTATTTATACATATCAATAAGGTTTATGGAAAGATTGTTGAGTTCAAATGGGTAAAGATTGGGTTGAAAATGGTAGAAATCTTCAAAGACTTCAATTGAGGATTTGAAGGCCGAGTTGTGATCGGATTTGAGTAATTTTGGTATGGTTGGACTCGTGATTGAATGGGGGTTCTAATTTTGTGAGTTTTATTGGATTCCGAGATGTGGACCCCACATGTGGTTTTTGGGGCATAATTTCGGATTTTTGAAAAATATTAGTATTTTAATATGGAATTAATTCCTATAATTTTTGTAAGCTGAATCAAATTAATGGTGAATAGATTCGAGCCGTTTGGAAGTTGATACGCGCATAATAGAATTTCTGGAGCATTGCTTAGCTTGCTCGACATTGGATTTGTCTTGTTCGAGGTAAGTAACTCTTCTAATCTTGGAGTTGAGGGTATGAACCCTGAATATATGTATTTCGTGAAGTGTTGGGAGGTGACGCTCATGTTAGGTGACGGGCGTGTGGGCGTGCACTATAGAAATTGTGACATAATTGTTTCTGTGAAATTTTGTAGTTAAATGATCTTGGCATTTTTCATGCGGTTTTATGAGTTAAAGAAATTGAGCTAAAAATTATATTAAAAATCATGTTGAGGCTATGTGCCAGTATTATTGGGACCCACAGAGGTCATATTGCTGTGAATTATTGGCTATGTTGAAAATTCATACTCAGTCATATTCATTTCATTGCATATCATATCTCAGTCTCTATTATTATTTATTGATACATCATATCATCATTTTTGGGCTATTCTCATGACATTGTGAGCCCATGAGAGAGAGACTGGAGAGATTGATGACTGAGGGAGGCCGAGGTCCTGATTGTGAGGATATATTTGGGAACGGACTGTACGCCGCAGCAGGCCATGTTGGCTTTATATATATTATTACTATTATATGGATCAGGGTTGCCCGCCTGCATCAGGCCTTATTGGCTTATATTATGGCACGTGAGTTGTCCGTGCAGCACGTGAGTTGTCCGTCCTTATAGCGCTTGGGCTGTAGGAGCCCTCATAAGTCTGTACACACCCCCAGTGAGCGTAGTCGACTATAAACAGGGATCGGACTGCACACCGCAATAGGTATTGTATAGCGCTGAGTGATTGAGTGTGCTAAGCACAGTGAGAGGGAATGCGAGACAATGAGATTGAGTACTATGAGAGAGTATGAGTACATGAGTGCAATCTCTGAGATACATTGCATTGACATGCACACATGACATATATGCATAGAGATGTGTTTTCCTCATGTTGTACAGTATCACAGTATTCATAATTTTTCACACACGTTGACAAATGGGCATAGTGATGCATTTGTTTTACACTGGTTATCTGGGAAAGAAAATGAGATATTTTATTTATTATTGAAAGGATTTTGGAAAAAATTAATGTTATCAAATTATTCATATTTTTGGAAATTTCGGCAAACGATTTGGGTTTTCATTGATGTATTTGAAAGGAAGAACTATTATTTTTGAAATTATGAATTGGCTGAGCATTTTATCTCTGTGTTTCTTCTGGTATTATTTGCTTTATGTTGTTATGGACTGTTGTGGACTAGTGGTTTTGGACCTGACCTTGGTAGAAGCTCGTCACTGCTTTCAAACTAATGTTAGGTTTGTTACTTACTCAGTACATGGGGTTGGTTGTACTGATACTGCACTTCTGCACATTCTGTGCAGATATTGGCTGTCGTTGTGGCTGTGTTCGATGGTTTCCGGATTTGAAGATGTACTTGCGTTCCTGTTGTAGCTGCCTCTCTTTCAGGGTAGCTTTAGATATATAAAAGCTCTGTTTATGTATTATTCAAACAGACTATGTATTTATTTCATTTTCTCTTTGTATACTCTATTCTTAGAAGCTCATGATTTGTACTACCAGTTCTTGGGAAAATGTATTGGTTTTAGATATTTTCTTTTAAATAATTGTCATTGCAATTGAATAGTTGGTAATTGGCTTACCTAACGGGTTGGGTTAGGTGTCATCACGACTAGTTGAATTTTGGGTCGTGACAGTTGGGTTGCTTCTCTTGCAGTCAAATCCACATTATCCCCATCGTTTCTAGCCATAAGTTCTTTGGTTTAGGATTGCCCAACCTTTTCTGATGTCTCGGTGAGATTTCTTTCCTTCCTTAGTTGTCGCAGTGATTTTTCTATCTCTGGCCCATATGGTAGCACTTCTTTCGCAGAAGCTCGAGTTATGCACCAATATAAACTTGTAACCTACGCATAGTCAAAGAACACCAAATGTAAAAAGGGGGAAATAAAATAAAATAAAAAGAAAAATTCCTAAATTAGCACTACAAACTATTTCAAACACTATTGATTGTCAATCCCCGGCAACAACGCCAAAATTTAACGAGCACAAAACATACACTTAAATTTTGCTCGCTAATCAAATATAGTATAGTATAATATCGTATCCACATGGGTTGGATTTAAATAGTATTCTTGTAGTTTCTAGCTTGATTGCTATTCAAAATGATCAACAATTGAGATTTCTATGATGTCTAACTAAAATTAACTAAGAGTCTAAAGCTATTGACTAATGATGATCGAAACAAAGAGAATTATCAGTGGGAAAAAATAGGGATTGATAGGATAGGTGCAAGATAATTATTTTGGATCTAACTCTAGATACTTCATTTCTAATGTTTAAGTGTGTCTCTTAAATTCACTCAATCATTAGTTCAAACGTTCAGCAAAAATTCCTCTCTCAATTAGGTCTTAACCTCACGAGATGAACCAATTTAAGCACATGAAGATATGCAAGAATGCGTAGTGGATTGGTCTTTAGGAAAACCTCTTTTGATTATTCTCCTAACTAGGTTTAATCAATAATTCAACTAGCATCTTTCGATTACTAAGAAGAATTAATGAACTCAACCAACAATATAATGCAAAGATATCACAAGTTATGCATCTCTTGATTACATGAACAAATGAATATACATGCAACAATTAAATCATTCAAAAACACTTCAATACATAAAACTAGAGTTATAATCCACAAACAATCATCAATACACCAAATCCATCAAACCCTAAAGAGAATTAATTCATAGATATGGAGAAATTCATCACAGATAAAATTAAAGTATAAGAAAACATAAATTTAATCCAAACTCGTGTCTTGAGTGAGGAAAGAATGATGAAATCATTGTGTTCGTGTTCTTCCAACTCCCCCTTAGCCTCCTTAGGTCGAATATGTGTCAAAAGTCCAGAAAATAATATTTTTCCATGTATTTGTACCAAATAGGGTCGGGCCCAAACAAAATCACCTTCTCCTAGCCGAAATGGGATTTTCACTCTGTAAAAATTACACAGGCGTGCCGCATGGGGTGACGCGCCATGCGGGGCATTAGTGGGAAAATCCAAAGAGTTGGTTCTGACAGACAGCAGACAAATGGGCAGTCGTGGCGCCCCACGCGCCGCGGCAGTGGACTTTTCTCATAATACGGATTTTTCGTGCGTTTTAACGTCCAGACTTGGTTCTCGGCACCCGAACACGATTCCGGCTTAATCTCTTGAGTTTTTACTCAGATTTCAAAGCTCCAAATAGCTTGAATTAGCTCTATAACATCTACATCACTCAGAATCACTCCTACATGGCATAAAACACACAATAAGTAAAGAACACTATCAATTAAAGCTCAATCATGAATAAAGTGCAGTGAATTAGAGTGCAATAAGCGACTAAAATATGTAATTATAGCCTACCATCAAAACTGGTAAACAGAATAGCGAAAAAGTTTGAAAGTGTACAGTAAAGCCTTAGTAGGTGTAAAATAGAGTACAATCAAGCACGTAGTATTTTTGTATTTTAGTTTATAGGCACATTATAGGATAAATAAGGTATCATACTCAATCTCCAAGCAAAACAAATAAGCATCGTTGTAATAATAATATATAGTGTATAAATATGAATACAACAATATAAACTTTTAAGGAAGTACCCGATGTGGCCCCTTATATTCAAATAATCACAGTTTACAATAATGTACCAAAAAAATATGTCATTCTCAAAATTGTATAATCTAAAGGTTACATGTTTCACGAATGATAGGGGTATCCAATATACCCTTTCCTTTTTCTTAATTATCCCGCGATGTAGTCATGCATCTTTGATGGCTGGCAGCTGGTAAACAGAAAAGCCAAGATGTTTAAAAGCATACAGTGAAGCCTCATTAGGTGCAAAATAGAGTGTAAAAGAACATGTAATATTTTTGTGTTTTAGTTTATAGGCACATATAAGACAAATAAGGTATCATACTAAGTCGCCAAACAAAACATAAGCACCATTGTGTTAATAATATATGGTATATAAATATGAGTGCAACAATATAACCTTTTTCAGGAATTGAAGGAGGTTCTTGTATGGTAAGAGCAGATTGTTTCAGAAATCTTGCTTCCCAAGATGATGTTGACTGCTCTGGGACAGCAAAAATCGGACTTTCAAGAAGGTTGTGCTTTGCAGAAGCTTGTCTTCTCATACGCCGCGATAGCAACATCGCTGCCCTTCTATGGGGATATTTGACTCTGCGTATTATGCCGTTTGAGTTGCATTGCAACCTTCATTTTTTCTGCATAAGAGCACTTGTCTGTTTCTTTGGAATCCATCAGGTATGCAAGTTTAACTTCTTTTTTATCTGTAAATATTTTTTAATGAATTATTCAAAAAGACTACATGGAATAACCTAAAAATGTGTCACCGCCCACTGTTTACCCTAAATCAAAATTACTGCCAATGAAAAGACTGATTCATTCAAGAATTTCCTCAAACACATAAAGAATAAAACCGGCCAACATATTAAACTATCTGTGCGCAAAGCTTTAGCATGCCATAAAAGATGTAACGGAGAAACAGAAGATGACAAGAAAGCTCACAAGAAAGCAACGATCCAAACTGGAAAATTTTCCAAAGTGTAAAGATAAGAACAGGAAAACCGAAGACAACAACACACTACTTACTTCAAATGAATAAATGCTTCTCAAATCAGGATATCCTCTTGGAATCATGCTAGCTCTTTTTCGTTCAGAGTTGGGTACGTAGACAAATAAAAGCGTATTATTACATAATAAGTAATCGATCCTTTAGTTGGTCTTATAAGAAGCTCGTACACAAGTTACAATGCCTAAGCATTACTTATTCGTAAAAATTGCCAAGAAAACTGAAAGGATCTCAGTACATAAAATAAGTATATGCATGTAATCTATAGGAAAGGGAGAATAATGTTTCATGAGAAATTAGTTTTTCCATTTCTATGTCCTATATAAAGAATTCAAGATGCTACGAAACACAAATTGGTATTTAGTAGCTTCTACTGCTAAAATAGCATTTTCTTCTCATCGTTCTGAACATCCTCTTCTACCTAAGTGAAGTAGCTTATCAATGTGAACCAAAAATAAATAGCTCTATCTATATCACAATTTCATCGAAAATGAGATGGTAACTTTACATGCAGATGTTACTTTAAGTTTCAAAGTCTCACCCACGAAGACCAAGTGTGAAAAACAAGCAATTAAAGAGCTTATCGCAAACTTAAAATTGAAATTTCTCTTCTTTTTGAGAAAAAGACACAAGCCATAGATGATTTAGTTCAATTCGTACACTTATGAGAGCCCTTTTGTTAAACCAGTTAAACCCCAAAAAATAGTAGAAATCTAAAAAAAATAAAGCCTAATTCATTCAAAAATTGCCTCGAACACCTAAAAAACAAAGGCGATGGACACATATTGAACCCATCATAATCTTCCTTCGATCCATTCGACGAAATAGAAGTTTCAATTTAGTTTTCTTCTTTACCATGGATCCATATGACGAAATAGAATTTTCAATTTAGTTTTCTTCTTTACCATGGAAGCTTTTCTTCTAACGTCATGGCCGTCGTGAAATTTGGGGAATTGATTTGTTGTTGAACTGCCCCAAATATCGTAGGAGCTCCACTTTTCTTTTATTAAGACCAAAAAGAATTCACTACTAACCACATGATTCAAATGCAAGGTAAAATTTTGTCATCTTCCATTTAGCACACCTACCATCAGAAATTGTTCACAATTTATTCTTTTTCTTTCTTTCTTCTTCTTTAACACATCAACGTTCATTTAGTTGTTTGTCATCCAAAAACGATATAATTTCTTTAGCTTAGTGATGTTGGGTGCACGCAAGGAACAAGAAAAGGGAGCTCTTGTTAGGTGTAATTAAACCTAAAACAATAGTAGAAATCTAGAAAAATGCCTAATTCATTCAAGAATTGAGGAACACTTAAAGAACAAAGGTGATGGACACATTAAACTTTCTGTGCAGCAAAGCCCTAGCATGCCATCAAAGATTAAACAGAGACACAAGATAAGAAGAAGAAAACTCACAAGAAACAACGAATTAGGCATACTGGCATACATAGACTGTACTCATGGGTAGTAGCTTACCATCATTTTCATACAGATGAATGCCAACACCACGTTGTTTTATCTATTTCATCCTGCCGCCAATCGTGAACTTTCCGACGCCTGATCGATGATGGTAAAGAGGGTTAAGCAAAGAGGTATAAATAGAAGGCAGATGCTTGTTAGGCGGAACCAGAATTTAGAGGTAGCAAGTATTACAATTTTCTTTAATTTAGGCCAAATGATTAATAGAGTGTGTCTCTTTTGAGTTTATTGGGCGACTTAATAAACATTTTTATTTGTAAATATAAGAAAAGAAAAAAATTTAATTAGTATTTTAAATAAGGAATCACACTTCTATTATTAACAATACATGTAAAATTAATATATTATTAGGAAAATTATATCTTTTTCTATATATAAAAAATAAAAATAAAAATTGCACAGTAAAAGAACATCTTCAAGAAGGGAATTACACCAATCGAAATTTCTTTTAAAACAAAAAACAAAACAAAAAATCTTAAATAGGTCAATTATACCCCATAAGTCATTGTAGAATTAGTTTTCAAAAATCAAAATCATAAATTTCATGTTTTTCTATGTAATGCTAACAAAATATTTCATCACAACTTAACAGTCATGAGATTTAAATTGAATTTATCAACCATAGAATAGTACAAATTTTATGATATAAGAGTAATAAATAAAACAATTATGAAAAATTAAATTTGATCTCGTTCCAAATTTCCCATTGAGACCAAGTTTTCCAATTTTAAAAGAAGAATATACTCTAATATTATATTGATTGACGAGACGTGAGACGGTGTGAACACGCAATTAGAGGTTTGGAGTCCGACCCTAGAATCTAAAGGTTTCAAGTTGAGCAGGACCAAGACAGAATACTTGGAGTGTAAGTTCAGAGGCGAGACTCAAGAACGAGAAGGGGAGGTGAGGCTGGACTCGCAGGTCATCCCTAGGATAGGGAGTTTTAAGTACCTTGGGTCTATTATTCAGGGGATGGGGAGATTGATGAAGATGTCGCACATCGTATTGGGGCGGGATAGATAAAATGGAGACTCACTTCCGGTATTTTGTGTGTCAAGAAGGTGCCATCGAAAAATAAGGGTAAGTTCTACAGAGTGGTGATCAAACCAACGATGTTGTATTGGGCTGAGTGTTGGCCAGTCAAGATCGCTCATGTCCAGAAGATGAAGGTAGCAGAGATAAGGATGTTGAGATGGATGTGCGAACACATCAGGTTAGATAGGATCAGAAATGAGGTTATTCGCGATAACGTGGGTGTGGCCCCTATTGAGGATAAGATGCGGGAAGCACGGCTTAGGTGGTTTGGTCATGTGAGGAGGAGGTGCACAGACGCCCCGGCGAGGAGGTGTGAGAGGTTGACATTTGAGGGCCTACGGAAAGGTAGAGGTATGCCAAAGAATAGTTGGGAGAGGTGATTAGGCAAGATATGGCGCAGCTTCAGCTCACCGAGGACATGACCGTTGATAGGAAGGTATGGAGGTCGAGGATTAGGATAGTAGAGTAGGTAGTCTAGAGTGTTCATAATAGTAGTATTGGTATGCAGTCTCGCTTTTTGTTGGTAGTATTTTTTTAGGAATAACCGTTATTTTCTTTCATTGTTGACCTTACTGTCTTTTTATTTTTATTCTGATTTTATATGGCTTTTTAGTACTGTCCCTTCTTGTCTATATTTTTATTAATGTGGTGCTTATACTTTCTTGAGCCGAGGGTCTATTGAAAACAGTCTTTCTATCCTCACAAGGTAGGGGTAAGGTCTGCGTACACACTACCCTCCCCAAACTCCACGGTGTGGGATAATACTTGGTATGTTGTTGTTGTAATATACTGTTGTCATTTGGCACATCGGCTAAATAAATGTTAAAGATTTCACAAATTACTTTAAACACTGCAGCCATTGGAGTCGTCCTTGAGCATGATGGAAGTTTTGAGCTTCCTTCCAAAGGTCGTTGCACTCTGGGGAGATGAATTTAAGGACGAAGTATAAAATTTACCACATCTTTGTTGATTGAAGGTGAATAGGAGCTTGACACAGTGGTAAAAGTTGTTGTCGCATGACATGAGAGTCACATGTTCAAGCAGCGAAAACGGCCTCTTTCAGAAATGCAAGGTAAAGCTCGTACATAGGATCCAATGTGATCCGCCCCTTTCCCGGAGAAAGGGCCGGCCCCTTTTCCGGAGAAGGGCCGGATCACATTGGATCCTATGTACGTAGTTTTACCTTGCATTTCACAAATTACATTAAACACTACAGCCATTGGACTCATCCTTGAGCATGATGGAAGTTTTGAGCTTCCTTCCAAAGGCTGTTGCACTCTGGGGAGATGAATTTAAGGACAAAGTATAAAATTTACCCTGGGAGTCACATGTTCAAGCAGCAGAAACGGCCTCTTNCCCCCATAAAAAAAAAATAGCAGGAGCTTAGCACCGGGCTACCTTTTTTTGTTGATCAAGGGGTGATAACAGCATTTTCTCACTAAAGTTAGTGATGGAGATGCAATTGTTTGATTATAAACGACCAGAAGCAGTAGAGAATTGTTAATAGTTGATCGAACTAAAGCCACAAGGCAAGTTCCAACAAATGGAAAATGAAGCGTAGAACTGATATGCTATAAGAAGCTATAAGACATAGAACGTATCATTCTTTGCATATCATCCCCACTCTCCGGAATCCTCTGTGCATTCACGAGGACAAGTAACGTACACAAAAAATTGCTCCACCAAAGCTTTTAAGACCCTTTACATTGATTAGAGGTCAAATAAACAAAAACTACACAGCAAAGATGATATACTGAGAGAAGGATAAGGGGAGGCAATAGAAGCACTCTGCTCATAAGCAATATATCTTTGAACTTTGGACTACTGAGGAGAGATCTCCAAAAGCAGGCCAAAATGATCACTAGGCAAAACAGGTAGTGTAAGTCTCTTAACTTCACTCTTCACTTTTTTCTCTTTGACATATGTGAGATGTGGAATTGCATCCTTCCCAATCATACTAATAGCACTTATACTGAAATCTTGCAGTTTGCAAACGAACCTGTCCAAACGTTTCTGCAGTGTCCGGTTGGCACTTAACATTTTGTTTGACTTGGTGTCGTATGTCCAACCAATTTCTTCAGGCTTCATTTTTGCCCAAGCATCAACCCACCCATCAGGTAGAGGAAATTGACCATCCAGTTTGTCATCCCAGTTCATATCACCACAAAAAATTACATTTGGCTTTGTCTCAAGTAACTTCACAGCTTCATTAGCTTGCTCCACACGTTCCTTGCTGAACATTTGATCCCATTTGGGTGGCCCAGGGCAGGGACTCTCAAGATGGCTGGTAGCAACAACCAACGTCTTATCTTTCTGAACTTCGATCTCAGCAATACACAGTTCCCTTCCCATTATCGAATTGCTAAATGGTTTGCAACTGTAGGATTTCACTCCAAGTTTGCTTAACTGCAAAATTTTGTCAAAGACCAAGTTTAACTATAAAATGGACTAAATTTTCAAAAACAAAAAAATGCAAGGATTCATGTTGAGCAATTATTGAGATGTTCCAGATTAGAAGTGAGAGTAAACGACAACACTAAAGAGAGACTTTTAGTGGCTAGGGTCAACATGAAAGCTCTGTTATGCTAAGTGAAAACTGAGGCCTCTCTAGGTATAATATGAGAACTAATTATCTTCATTGTAGCAAGAACTCCAGAACAATCATAAGTGCTCAAAGCAGGTGTAATAGATGATATACCATGGTCACAAAGAAAAAGAAAACAAAACTAATCATCATATTATCAGCCCTAAAACACATCAAATACCAAATATGCAAGGCGTACTAACTAATCACCTGTATGCAGAAGTATCCTCTCGTAAGTTCCATCACATTTGAAATTGAACAAGAATACATTTTCCACCAACTAGACTGCTGAAAAATGTCATAACTTTCTGGAGTAACCTCCTGAATGGGTGACAAAACAACAAATTATAGAGTCAATAACGTTCATGCAAGGAATAGTTACTCTTTCAAAGTTACATATATGTAAATGATGATAACCTGAAAACATATAACATCTGGGGAATGCAGTACAATAAGGTCACCTAGAGCTTCCATCCTCTTGGGCATCTCTATATCTGCAAACCATACATTATAGGTCAAGATCTTCAATGCTTTGGAGTTATTGGCTGATAAAGTTTTGCCTGGTTTCTGATCCACCAAATCTGCAACACAAATCACTGCACTTATAAGTAGGGAAAGAATAAGGCAGCATAAAGTCAAAGTTAAGAGACCAATTCATCCCAAAAAGTGAACTCTTCCAACATAAAACCTAGATTTCCTTGGATAAAAAAAGTGCGTAATAGCATCAAATGGCTTATTACAATAAACCAAACAAAGATGTTGGGAAAAGTTTGGAGATCAAGAGTTTCACAAGCCAACAATTAATGCAATGTTTTAGGTGCAATACAACAACTTAAAAGTTCACAAATAATCCTTTTCAATTGTGATAAACATGCTAAACATCATAAATCCCAGAAAAACCACCTTTTCCCATACAGTACTTTTATTCTTTTTTTTCCTGGGAGAAGTTCCGATTATCATATCTCTGTACATGATCCAACCAGTCTACAAGATCATGAAGATCAAGAATCAATCAGCAAATTTCGAATTGGGGCACACAAGGGAAAGATGGGAATTGCATATCTTCTCAATCAAAAGACTATTACTTAAACAAATAGATTTATTACAAATATATCATGAAGCAAGCACAACTAGAGCCGCTGGTTAAAATCTGAAATCAGTGGTGAAACGGGGCTGAACTCTAAGAGGAGTTCAAGATATCACATCAGTCAACTAAGCCTCACACTCAAACTAGTTGGTGTCAACTATGTGGCTCCTATACATCTATTCCAGTCCGTCCCATTTCATTCCGATACAGTTCAAAACATCCACATATTCAAGAAACCACCCCTAAAACAGTATTTGTGCTAAATCCAACAAAAAACCAACAAAAACAGGACATCTTTTATCAGCTAATTTCAAAGACAATTCTCCATTCTGCTCCATTTGGTCCCAATTCATTCCAACGTGGGAGTCCAAAACGTATCCAAAAAAGTTACTATTCTCAAGAAATCGCCCCATAAACAGTATTTGTGCTAATGCAAACCTACTCCAAGACACTATTATATGCAAGAAACCAATAAAAAAGGAGTCTCTTTTATCAGCTAATTCATGTTAAAATATTTATTAAAAAAACGTAAGTTCCATAGACAAAAAAACAGAATTAAACAGAAAGAACTTCAATATACCCGAAATGTCAACCGCCTTAGTTGCAGTCTTAACACCCCTATATCCCACAGAATCAATCTCATCCTCCTCAACCCCAATTGGGTCCTCTCTATTTTTCCTCTTGGTTGCAGCATTTACACATCTAGCCCTAACAGACTCCTTAATATCATCATCAACCCTAATAGGAACCCTAATACTATTTTTCCCCTTGTTATTACAAGGCCTCAATAAAGGCATAAAAACACTGCCAACAGAAGAATCCAACTCATCATCATCATCATCATCAGTTTCAAGATTAGCAAGTCCAGAAGCTGAAGCCCTAGTGCCACATACATCACAACTAATACTGTGGTAAGGGTTCAAAAAGGTGCAAGCTTTACATGCCCATTTGAGTTTCGTGACTGAAATTGATGGGTCTGATGAGATGGAGGGGGGTGGGTCAGATGAACAGATTTGGCAGGATGATTTTTGGGATGAAAGAGGAGGGTTCAAGAATGTGCATCTTGAACATGACCAAGAAGACATGGTTGTGGTGTAAACTAGGGTTTTGATAGGGTTTTGGGGGAGAAGAATTGGTTTGATTATGGGTAACAAGTGAAAGGGCATTTCGAATATTGAAACCATATGTTTGCCGCTAATAAGTTGCGGTTGCGTTAGCCAAGATGTCGGCAGTGCACGTCTACCCAAGAATAGTAGAAAATGATGGTAGAAAAATAATCCTTAGCCAAAAAAAGGTAGAAAAATAAAAAGAAAACAAAACTAGAAAAAGAAAAAAGAGATAATGAAGAGATTAAAAATAAAATATTATCCATTTGAAAAAATTATGAAAAAACTAAGGGTGTGTTTGGTATAACGGAAAATATTTTCCATGGTAAACGTTTTCCAAGAAAAAGTTTTCTTGGAAAACAAATAGTAATCTTACTCATTTTTCGGTATTTGGTACGCAAATTAAGAAAAATAACTTCTCAAAAATACTCATAAATGATAATTTAGATACAATAAACATGAACCAATAAACTTTCGAACCAACAACCTTCCAAACCCACAAATTTCATAAACTTCTAAACCGTTAAACTTTCGAACTCGTAAACTCTATAATTTTTAAACCCGCAAACTTCCAAATACATAAACCTCTGAACTCATAACTTTGGAACTCGTAAAATTTCGAACCTGTAAACTGAAAAATAAAAAAAAATCAGAACTGAAAATATTTTTTTAAAAAAAAAAATGTGTGGGGGTACAGAAAAAACAGAAAATCGAAAATACAAAAA